ATAATCCTATAACAAAGTGATTAAATACATTGTCCAAAGACATGCCACCAACAAGTGGCATAAATGAGATTTGAAACCAGGTTTATCTGATTCTGTATAAATCAGGATTAGTTCAGCTTCATTTGCCAGAATAGCTCAAATAATAGTGGTTTATACAATAGAGTTCTGTTTCTTGTTCTCCTGTTACAGAAGTCTGGGGTTAGGCAGTACAAAGTTGTTGAATGAGTCCACAAAGTTATAAGGGACTCATGTACTTTTCATCTCCATAGGATGTGGACCTCATCTTCATGGTGCAAAATGGCTGCTAGAGCTCCAGCCATTATATTAATATACCAGGCAGCAAGGATGGAGGAAAAGAAAAATGATATGACCTCTCTCAAAAAATATTTTTCCAGAATTCCTACACAATATTACTGCTTACATCTCACTGGCCAGAATTTTGTCACATGGCTACACCTTACTGCAGCTGCAAGAGAAACTGGGAACCATGATATGACCAGCTAAAAATCGGGGTTCTGTTCCTGAGGATGAAGAGAAGAAGGGATGTTGAGGAAGATATTAGCACAGACTCCAAATATCATAAATTTTCTTTCTCTTTGGTTAGAGAAACATCTTCTTGATGGTACTTCATTGTTCATATGTCTGAAACTCTGACTTCAATTAGAGGCCATTTCAGAAACCAGAATATGATTAAAGGGATCCCAAAAACTGGTATAAGTGTAATTTTCCTATATGTAGATTCTTGACAATTTTGGTTGCTTTAGTATATCTGCCTTTCCAGGATTTATAACCATTGTGAAAATTACCCAGGAGACACCTATACTTCTTATTTCTTAATGCTTGCTTTGACACAGATTTCTTCATACTACTTATAGTATCACTGACAAACTATCCTTGAATTTGCCAGTTTTTTACCAGAGTTTATGACAGAGTAAGGGGAGTGAAATCTCCAAAGAAGAGAAGTCAAGTCAACTTTTGATTACACCTTTTCCTCACTTATTGACTATCTCATTATCTGACATTTCGCATTTACAACAATAGTAGCAAATCTACTCTCCCACTGTTTTGTGCATTAACAATGTGCATCTGGCAGTAATGAACGCCAAGGTGTGAGGCGAAGAGTTAACACTGGCTGTGATGGTTAAAGTTGTGTGTCAACTTGAATGGGTCATGATTCTCAGTGGTTTGGCAGTTATGTAATGATGTAATTTGGCAGGTATGTAATGATGTAGTCATCCTCCATTTTGTGATCTGATGTGGTCATCCTCCCTTTTCACATAACAACCTGGTCTTTGGAACCTAACCTTGTTGATAAGTGAGGAGAGGGTGTACTGAGTTAGTCATAAGGTGAGAGCACGAGAGCTGCTGAACTGAAAAATCACAGGGAGTGCCTGGCACTCATTCTTGTGGTGAGTACTCAGCTCCTCTCCTGCTCAGTTACCAGGTGGTAAGGGAGTGGTCTGTCTCCTCAGCCAGGTTCTAAGCAACATGGCTTACAACTTGTTGGCAAACTTCCTCCCCTACTCCACCTCTATCACCTCTGCTGATTAATTGTCAGTAGCATTAAGGAATGCGTGTTTATTCCTCCTCATTTCTTAAGTTTATTTTCTATCAGAAGAGCTGATGGACAGGGAAAGATGATGTAGCAAGGAAGGAAAATAACCCTTTACAGTTTTTATTATGCTGCAGTCTACATGTGCAGAAAACAGTCATTTAACTCCATTTTGTTATATCGTTAATACAAAAATAACCTCTTTCTCTTTAAAAAAGCGTATAAAACAAAAAAAAACTTCCCTAAAAAATTTTGAAGCACCCAGAGCCCAGCACTGAAACATTAGAATGCTGTCTTTCCAATTTATTTTTCTATTGTATGTCGTTACTTCTTAAAATAATTTATTTTTGTTGTTGTTGAGAATATACACAACAGAACATAACACCAGTTCAACAATTTCTACATGTACAATTCGGTGACATTGATTACATCCTTTGAGTTGTGCATCCATTCTCACCCTCCTTTTCTGAGTTGTTCCAACTCCATTAACATAAATTCACTGCCCCCCTGAGGTCCCTATCTAATCTTTGGAATTGCTGTTGTCAATTTGATCCCATGTAGATAAAGCTCAAATGAGCACAGTGCTCAAGGCAGACATTCTTTACTAATTAAGTTAAACCCACTGTTTGGTTTTAAGAAGACTTTAAGTGTTGTTTTCGGTTTAAGGTTTAAAGATTATTTCAGGGGAATAGTTTCAGGGATTCATCTAACCTCCATGGCTCCAGAAATTCTGGATTTCACATTTTATTAGTTTTATATAATCAGAATAAAGATGTTTTAAGGAAACATTTCATCCACTTGGAAAAAATGGAAAATTATTGTCAAGTACTATATCCTATAGTGAGAAGAGGGCAGCGGTGGCTTTGGCTTTGGTGCCAAGCTATTCGTGGGACCTTAACTAAAGTCCTTACCTGCAACTGTGGAAGTAGATGAAGGCAAGTACAAAGGGCTTTTTCCCCCACTCAAATGTTTATGATTAATACACATAAGACAATCTGTAAAGCTTATGTAGAATTAGGATGATATCTAGTCCAGATGTTTCTTAAATTGGGCTTCATGGATAGGTTTCAGAGTCTCTGATCACCATTAATTAGATGGAAAACAAGCACTTACCCAGATTTATACTCTTCTCTGGGAGAAAGGCCCATCACACTTCATTCATGAGAGTCTTAAATCTGTGATCTGAAGGTTAAGAACAACTGGTATACTCTCATTGTATGAATAGACATCCTCCATCCAGAGACATGATGTTTCTGGAGATCTGGAGAAATGATGGGCCAAAAGGTAGCATCAGTTCCAAGCCCAGTGCTCTCCCCCATGGCAGTGGCCCATCACAGACCCCTGTGTCACATACTATGTTGGAAATAACTACTCTGTCTTCCCATCTGGCCCTGTTCTCAAAGTCAGTGGTAGTGCATACTGCCTTCTCAGTGAGTTTTCCCCAAATCCTTCCCCAGCCTCTTCAGGTAACCCTTCCCCCAGAAGAGAGGGGAGATATTATGCTGGAAGAAGCAAGCCTAGGCTCACACAGTTGAGATCCTTGTTCCTATTCCTGTATTTCTTAAAGAACATTTCTATTCTCAGTGTATTTTGTCCTTCTCGCCAGAGGTGAGGTGATGAATCTTTTCCCAAGACTTGACATAATCGTAAAACGTGTCATAGTGTCTGACACTGAAGGAAAATCCTCGGATTGACAACTCACAGGCTTAGTGGACAACCCAGCTATCTAAGGAAGTAAATTTGCGTTCTTCTCCACCACACTTAACAACACAGTTTAAAAAATACCATACAATGTGAACACTGTGGTATTTGTGCTGAGAAATCATCACACAAAACGTTATATCTGTAACCCAAAGTGACCTTTTCTGAGCAGCCCCAGCCCTGCATGAGACGGCAAATACTGCTAGATTGCCTGACATTTCCTTTTTTAAATTTCAAACATTCCCGATTTCAATCAGCTATCGATCTGTTGGTTTACAGCACCAATGCAGTTAAGTGAAGTCACATTCACCGCTGTTGTGCTCTAACAAAAACAACTGCTTTTAAACCCCAGTCCCCATCCTATACCACCTCCCCCGCAACTCACGCTAAATGTATCAGCCAACATGCAGTTTGCAGAGGCTGATTGCAGAAAAGAGCATTTTTCAAAACCCGAAATTAAAATCTTCTAAGTCGAATTGTGTACTGTCGTACTGTGTCCAGCTTTAAAGATCAAATTTATTTGCTCACTCTTTACCTTAAATCTCTTTTGACAGAAGCTACAAAAAACATATAAGGAGGGAGAGATTGCTCTGATTCTCCTTGCTCACTGAAATGTAATGTAGGATTCCGCTAGGGAATTGTCTGAGCTCTACCTGGAATTGGCGGAGAAGACAGATGAAAAGTTAGAACTCAGGTCAAAGAAAGTTTAATAGTGGTGTTTCTCTGGGATCAGCGTGTTGACCAGGTCCCACAGGTAAGCCCATCCATCAGTCTGAAAAGCCACAGAAGACTTTATAGATTTCTGTTGTGTGGCTGAAGCTCAGCATTCACAACTTGAAAGTTGAACAGGTTAAGATTCTGGAAGTGCATGATTCCCTTGTTAATCTATTGAAGAACATTCTTCCTAGCTCCAGTTAACCTGAGAGAGTTGGGTGGGGAAAGAGATCTGGATGGGTCCTTGGTTTGTCTTCTCATATCATAATTTATTAGAGTTCTGGTTCTGCTCCTGGGAGATGGCCTGGTAGCACATAAGAAGCATCTGTCCAATCAATCTCCCACCAGCCGTTCTGCAGGAGAAAGGTAACAGTCTGCTTCTGTAAAGATTTACAACCTTGGAAACCCCATGGAGCAGCTCTACTCTGCCCTATAGGGTCGCTGTAAGTTGGGATCGACAGCAGTGAGTTTGGTTTTTTTGGTTTTGGTCCAATCAAAAAAGACTGTTTTGAAAAATGAGCCCTCTGATTTCTTTATTAATAGTCAGCTCCTTGGTCTGTCTGTTGTACACACAGCAATTTGGGTAAATAAATTTCAAAGCTATAAGGGGTGCCCTATTCAACTTTCATATTATCCGAACGTAAAGCTGATTTTCATTGATCTTATGCTGAGAGTCATGCAGCCCGACACCAACTCTTAATACCCTCTTTATCGAATAACTCAGGGAAAGTGCTTGGAATGAGGAGCTTTGCTTTGTCTTCTGATTTTTCCATCGAAAATTAGATCCCACTGCCCACACATAGCAGTGTTCTCCATGTTACATTTAGGGTGACCATTTAACGTAGCTTGCCTGGAACACGATTTATGCCCATTATCCTCTGAAATTAATAGCACCTACTTTTGCTCAAAAAAGTGTCCCGTTTTGGATGATACATTATTTTCTATGATCACCCTAATTACAGGGAATAAAGGAAAGGAAATGAGTTTCTGCTGAAGCAGTCTAACCTTGTGCTCCTTTTCTCTGTCTCCACAGCTCCATTTGGCAGCCCTGGCATCACTAAAGGGAGACATAGTGGAGCTTAATAAGCGTCTGCAGCAGACGGAGCGGGAACGGGACCTTCTGGAAAAGAAATTGGCCAAGGCACAGGTGAGGCTATGAACTTGTTTTGTTTTTAAATTTTTTTATTTTAAGACCAAACATAGACACCGAAATTCCCTCGAAAGAAATGTACAGCTTAATGAGCAAACACTCTCATAAACAACCACCCAGGTCAAGGAATAGAACTTGCCACCACCCCAAAATCTTCCCTATGTGCCCCACCCCAAACTTCACACTTTACCTCCCCAAAAAGGAACCACTACCCTGACTTTTATAGTAATTGCTTCCTTGTGTTTCTTTACAGTTTATCACTCATATCTGCATCCCTAGACAGTATAGTTTAGTCTTGCCCGTTTTAAAAATATGTATTTCCTTTAAATCTCTTAATGTACAGGGTTTTCCTCCATTTCTTTGTTTTGTTTATAATTTATCTGTTAAAACCTGGCCATTTGACATACGGGGTTTCCCATAGTCTGTATGTTGCTGACTGTACACTCGTGGTGCATTTCAATATGTTCCTCTGTCCCCTGTATTTCCTGCAAATTGGCAACTTTATCCAGAGGCTCAATCAGATTCATATCCAATCCTTTTGGCAAGATGGTAGATAGCATCTGTTTTTTCACTGGAGGCATATAGGGTCTAGTTGTGTCTCTCTTTGTGATGTTAACAGTTGTTGATACTCAATGCTTTGGTTTTTTAGATGTTGCAAAATCATAATATTTTAATTCTGTCATATCTTTTCCAGTTATTAGTTGGAATGCTTTTATGGAAACATTTCCCATCATCTACTATTTGTTTAAACAATGATACAGTTCATAGAGGAAAGGCAGGCTAAATGCTTGATTCTTCTCTGTTACTTAACACTTTTCAAAATAGCAAACTGATTCCCCATTATCCTCTGAATGCACTTGCTTATTTTTAAAATATGATTATGAATTATGGATTTAAACATATTTTGGTTTTACTCCATTGCAATTATTTTCTTTTTAGAATCCTAAAGTGTCCTATCTTTGGCCAGTGGGAGCCTCTTCAAGTTGGCTCCTGAGTCATTTTACATGAGCCTGGCAATTATTCTAGGCTCATCTGCCCCAGACCTAGAATTGCCTGTTATCCAACAAGCCCTGGTTTCTTTCAGCAGGAAATGGTATTTCAATACTACAATCTGGGTGCCAAGGATACTTATTGCTAGTAACTTGGTCATTGTTTTTAGGACTCTTTGGTAGACAGAGCTAGGAAATTATCTGTCTATAGCTATTTGTCTATCTATTCATTCATAAAATTTAAAATAAAATACCTTAGAAGTTCATACTAATACTTCCAGTTCAAATTCAGGACTACAAGGTGTTTTACTTAACTACTTCCCTATTATATCTGTATCTCCTTTATTTCTACTGAGAATCGAATCCTGGTTGTTAAAGTTACAGTTGTTGTTGTAGGCGCCGCAAGTCAGTTCCGACTCATAGCAACCCTATATACAACAGAACAAAACACTGCCCGATCCTGCGCCATCGTCATAATCATTGTTATGCTTGAGCCCATTTTTGCAGCCACTGTGTCAGTCCATCTCGTTGAGGGTCTTCCTCTTTTTCACTGACCCTGTATTTACCAAGCATGATGTCCTTCTCCAGGGACTAGTCCCTCCTGATAACATGTCCAAAGTATGTGAGACGTAGTCTTGACATACTGTACTTCTTCCAAGACAGATTTGTTCGCTCTTTTGGCAGTCCGTGGTATACTCAATATTCTTTGCCAGCACCATAACTCAAAGTCGTCAGTTCTTCTTCAGTCTTTCTTATTCGTTGTCCAGCTTTTGCATGCATGTGAGGCGATTGAAAACACCGTAGCTTGGGTCAGGTGCACGTTAGTCTTCAAGGTGACATCTTTGCTTTTTAATACTTTAAAGAGGTCTTTTGCAGCATATTTACCCAATGCAATGCATTGTTTGTTTTCTTGACTGCTGCTTCCAAGGGTGTTGATAGTGGATCCAAGTAAAATGAAATCCTTGACAACTTCAGAGGATGATAGAATATCTCAACAATTATTCATTTACTTTATCCCACATTATATACAATCTCAGAATCACAATGTTAATATTAACACAACCAATATAGTTACTGAAAAGAGTTTAAAAAATTTTTTTTTTTTGCATTATGCTCTTCTCATTTTCACAAATTTTTGGAGTTGCACTATATCCACATCAGCAGACCATATGGCTGTTACATCTTATACTCTCTCCTTTTTAGCCTTCATTTTGCCTGTTACATGTACACCCACTCCTAACTTGGTTAGGTTCCAAAGACGAGGTTGTTATGCGAAAGTTGGCGTTAAGCGAGAGTCAGGGCTGTGCCCTGCCTTTGGCGCCAGTGTCCCCCTCCTGTCACTCACCACTCATTGGGCACCTCTGGTGCATTTCGGACTCCCCTTCCCCACCACTGCAGAGTCCGTGGGGTGTTGGGAGTGGTGGTGGTGGTTGGGGTTTGCCCGCTGCCTCCCGAGCAGCAGGGGCCCACCATCACCTGGCCAGACTCCAGGCCTCCATGCAGACTCCTGCACCTCACCTCTCCACCTTCCTGCTGTGCTGGCCTCGGAGACAGGCCTCGGCGGTGGGCAGCTCCCAGGCCTGTAGGTGAGGCCTGGTCACCTAGGCCTGGCGGAAGCTGTGGAGGTGGCAGATAGGCCTCTTTGGAAGAAGAAACTTCTGAGCCCCCAGCCCAACTCTTGCAGCCTGGCTCCCACCACCTTCTCTCAGCCCAGCCACCCCCGCTTTCTATGCACTGCCCCCCTCCCGCCCAGTGCTCACCGAGAGCCCGCTGGTCTCCTTTGCCTGACCTGGGTAATATGAACGGACAGTGCTGTGAGGCTTGCTTTCTCTTACATACCTCTCCTTCTTCCTCCTTCTCCCCCACCCCCGCCATCGCTTTGGCTCCTGATTAATGTGCAAAATAGTCAGATAGTAGATTTTTTACTATTGTTGTAAATACGAAATGTTGGCTAATGACATAGTCGGTTAAGTGAGGAGCAGGTGTTAACTATATCTTTAGTGCTCACCGCTGGCCCTTAGGTCAGTGTTCCTTCTTGTTTTCTTTTTTGGTCTGAAGCTCATTGTCTAGTAGATTCCTCATGGGAATAACCTTCCCCAAGTCCTTGCATGCTAATAACGGTGTGTCTGTGTCCTATATGCTTGAAAGGCATTTTTGCTGGATATAAAACCTTTGGCTCATTTTTTCTTTTCTTTCCTTGTATACATTGCTTTATTTTTTTCTGGCACAGGATATTGCAGTCAAAGTCTGATAATAATCTTTCTTTTCCTTACAAGACACTTGCTTATTCTGGATACCCAAAGGATTCTCCCTCCTCTTTTTTATGTCTAGTACTTTTTCTAGAGTCAAGTAAGTCTTGGTCTTAGCCATTCTGGGTTGATATTTTCAGGTTTTCTGTGTATTCTTTTTTTTTTCCTGTGTATTCTTTTGATCATAGTTCAAAATCTTGTTTCTTTTCAATTTGGGGATAGTTTTTTGATATAATTATAGTGTCTGGTATTGGTTTTTTTCCCTTACTTTGATTTTCTTCTTCAAGTGCTCCAATTATTTTTATGTTACTTTTTCCTGTCTTCAACTTCTGTCACTTTATCTCAAATTCTATATATGTCTCCCTTTCTTTGATTTATCTTTCTGTTCTCCATATTTTGTTTACCTGGGGTCTTTATAGGGTGTGTTTATTCCCTTTTGTGTACCCTCTAGTTTAGTCTTCATTTCTGAAATGCATTTTTGTTTTATTTCTGATTCCATTCTGTGTTTTATCACCTTACTTCTAAGTTTTTCTAATTCTGAATTATGTTCTTTCATGTCTTATAGCACTTCCTTAATGTCTTTTAGCTTATTTTGAAATGATAGGTTATCGTTTTGGTCTATTTTGATCCTTTTTTTGGGGGGGGTCTTTTTTTTTTTTTAATTGTACTTCAGGTGAAGGCTTACAGAACAAATAGTTTCTCATGAAACAGTAGTACGCATATTGTTTTATGACATTGGTTAACAACCCCACGACATGTCAACCCTCTCCTTTCTCAACCTTTTTTTTTTTTTTTGGTGAAAATATGCATAGCCAAAGATACACCATTTGAAAAATTTCTACATGCACAGTTCAGTGACATTGACTATGCTCTTCAAATTGTGCTGCTATTCTCACTTAAGATGAAGGCTTACAGAACAAAATAGTTTCTCATTTAACAGTTACTACAAATGTTGCCCTATGGCAATGGTTAGCAATCTCACAACACATCAACAATATCCTTACTCAACCTTGGGTTCCCTATCACCAGCTTCCCTGTCCCCTTCTGCCTTCTGGCCCCTGTCACTGGACTGCTGTACCTCATTAGTCCCATTTGGTTTTACAGGGCTGTCCACTCCCAGGCTGAACGGAGAACCTCGGAGATAACTTCACCACTGAGCTAAAAGGGTGTCTGGGGGCCATACTCTCGGGGTTTCTCCAGTCTCCTTTAGGCCAGTAAATCTGGTCTTTTTTTTTGTGAGTTAGAATTATGTTCTACATCCTTCTCCAGCTCTGTCCAGAACCCTCTGTTGTGATCCTGGTCAGAACAGTCAGTGGTGGTAGCTGGGCACCATCTAGCTGTACTGGACTCAGTCCGGTGGAGGCCTTGGTAGCTGTGGTCCATTAGTCCTTTGGACTAATCTTTTCCTTGTATCTTGTTCCCTTCATTCTCCCTTGCTCCCGAAGGGATGAGACCAGTGAAGGGGAGGGGGTCTATTTTGCAGCATGCTTTCATTGCTTATGGGGATATTATTCTGCTATTTATTCTTTTCCTTATTACTTTGCATGGGATTTGACCTCGGTACTTTTCTGTTCTTCATTTTTATGTGAACAATAGTTTTCTTGAACATTTAGGAGGCAGGGTTCAAGATAGCTTTTCGAAGTTCATAGAGCTTAGTGTTCTGTTGTTTTCATGAAGTATTAAAAAATACGGCTGCATACTTTCTGAGACTTCCTTGGTCTGTTCCCTCACCTACTTTTATCTGGATCTCTTCATTCCT